CTGAGCTTTCGTCCGTCATATGACGGACATCATCAGAGCGAGGTAACATCGTCACAACAAAATTAAAGCTAATGTGTCAAGAAGACTCACCGTCAAATCCCTAAAAGTGGTATATATACTCTACATCTTCTTGACTCGTTAGCTTGAATTTTGTTGTGACAATGTTACCTCGCTCTGATGATGTACGTCATATGACGCACGAAAGCTCAGCCCGGGTTCACCGGAATCGAAGGAGATTGCCTCGGAAACAGCGTCTCAAATATTCCTTCACCAAACACTTTCACTCGAAATGGAAGTAAGCTCAACAATTATGAAACAAGAGATTCCTCGAAACCTAACTTTTCTTCATATTTATTTGCACAGCTCACCTACTCGAAATGGAAGTAATCCCAACAACTATGAAACAAGAGATTCCTCGAAACCCAACTTTTCTTCATAGACTCGAAATGGAAGTAAGCCCAACAATTATGAAACAAGAGATTCCTCGAAACCCAACTTTTCTTCGTATACACGTCAGTAAGCCGCCGGACCTTCAGGATAGATAAGCCATTGCTCGATTCACACTTACCATGCATCCGCATTCAGCATCACGACTGATGCAACTACTCGGGAGCATACGAGTACCTTCAAAAGGTTATCGACAACAATCTACCGACAGGCTGTTCGCCCCACCGACGCCGGCCGCACGTCAATTGTGCAATGAGACTGACCTATCCGTCCTGCCGCGAAAGCCACATGCGTCGGCTAACTCACTGACACGTGAACAGTCTGAACGTAAGCGCCATATTTTAATGTGCCCGCTTAAAAGTTGACTATCGATCCTAAAAATTGGGCCTGTACAAGCCTATTTTGGGAACCTGACTGAGATTTAATTTAATTTTTCAACTCCCTATTATACTACTCACTTGCTGCATAAGTAGTAGCAGAAGCGGCAGTAGTAGTAGCAGCAATAACAGCATCAACAGTAGCAGTACTGCAGGAGCAGCAGTAGCACTCTGGGCGTCAGGAACACCAGCAGCAATAGTGGCAGTAATAGCAGTAGTAATAGAGCAGCAGTGGTAGTGGTAGCAGCATTCGCAATAGTGGCAGTAGCAGCAGTAGCACTAGGTGGACTAGGTGCAGTAGTAGTTGCGAGCTGTATGTTTACTATTAGGTCCCCCTAACAATGTTATCTCAGTAGATTCATCGAAACCAACTTTCTCTTCGTATCTACTATTAATAAGTTTATGTGTCAACTAAAGCTTGTATGTGA